CCTCCTTTTTTTTTTTGATTTATCTGTCTCACAATAACAATTTCACTTAAACATTCATCATTCAACAAAGCAGTGATGTCACTCAAATCTTGGGAATTCAAATTTTTGCACATTAACATTCTTTTTATGACATATTTTGAAATAGTTTGCTTTGTTACATTAATAACAGAATTTTTTTAAAGGCAGATAATCAAATTTATTTTTTGTAAACGTTTGTTAAATAAAATACCAGAAATTAAGTTATGACGGTTGTTTTGAATAGTATTTATGATTTCTTTTTTATTAAAATATCAATAATATGCTGAATGGGACAAAGCGCTATGAATTATACAACTCTTTTTCTGTTGAGGGTGAAACGAACAAATACAGACTTTTCTTTCAGGACCAGCTACCGGGACCTTGGATAGATAAAAGGAAAAATGTGCAAATGACGATAAATAAACATGAGGAGAGAGAGGGAGGGAGAGAGAGAGAGAGAGAGAGAGAGAGAGAGAGAGAGAGAGAAAGAGAGAGGGAGAGAAAGAAGATGACGGACTACGCTCTACAGCTAGTCAGCCTACTGAAGGACGCACTGAGTAAGAGAGAGAGAAGGAAAGAGAGAGAGAGAGACAGGGGGAGAATGAGAGAGATAGAGAGAGAGAGAGAGAGAGAGAGAGAGAGATGGAGAGAGAGGATAGAGGTTCATTTTTCTAGTCAATTTGAGCGGGAGTTTTGTTTTCCTTCTTAACCTTGCACAACCTGAGTGTTCAATGTTTGTGACGTTAAAATATAACTCATGCTTTAACCTTTTGAACCCCTTTCCGTGTTATGATGTTTTGAATGCAATAGATTTCAACACAATTAAGATTCAAAACAAGTGTCATGTAAATATTAATCTATACCAAGTCTCCTTCACTCAGAATTGCATCTCTATATCGAGTTTCTTTAATTCAGAATTACATATCTATACCGAAAAAAAAAAAAAAAAACTATATCTATATACAGAGCCTCCTTAATTCGAAATAATTTAACTTCACTTGTATCAAACAATTTCATTGGCTGAATCATTCAAAGGAACATATAATATTTTCTATAACATAACTTGCCTACGTCACAATGAGTTACGTCAAAAACATAATACTGCACTTGACGTTACCTTTTAAAATAATCCCTAAATTTTCAGCCGTTTTCCGGAAGAAAATTTGTCTTATTGTCTACACTGAAATTAGATTATTTGGAATGAAGATTATTTCAACTGATGTTATACGATACAACATAACTTGAGACAGTTAACGTTTTTATTTAAAAACCGCTTTGCGGTTCATAAAGCCTAAACTTCCCCAAGTCGTTTTATATCGTATAACAAAAGTAAAAATAAGCTTCATTCCTTAAACACCAAATCTATTAAGTATCTCCTTAATTCAGAATTATATCTCTATACTAAGTCTCTTTAATTCAGAATTACATATCTATACCGATATCTTTAATTCAGAATTACATTACTATACCAAGTCTCCTTAATTCAGAATAACATATCTATTCTGTGTGTCTTTAATTTAAAAAACATATCTTTACCGATCTTTTATAATGCTATCCACTACCAGCATTACTCTGAATTTGAACTATCACCAATGCATCCTGGATCTTTTATTCTTTTGTTATTTCTTGATTGTCGAATAAAATTATCTGCTGAACTTTTGAGTGTTGTGGTAGCGAAACATTTAGGAAAATTTTAAACTTCCCGATTTACTGATATATAAACTACGAATTGTTTTAGGGAAGCTTATTTTCAGACAGCGTGCAAGTAAAACCATGGCAGGAGTTTGGACGGCTATCTTCGTGTGCGGCTTGTTCTTTTGTACGGCTAGTTCTCAGCAAATTTATTCTAATGAAAAAAATTACTGCGTCTGTAATGATCTGACTATAAAAATATTAAACGATAAAATTGACTCCCTGAGAAGTGAAAACGCGAGGATAGCGGTTAATCAAAAGAAAATTCAAGAAGAATTTTACGAGATGTTTAATATCCTGACCAAAAATGTGACCAACATCCACGAAGATTTGAAAGGCAGTATGCTGCAAACCATCAAGTCTGGTAACTTTTTCTCACTTTTTTTCTCTCTCTCTTCCTCTTTCAGAGTATATTTTATATTACAATTATTATTGTATCATGTTTTTTTTTCTCTTTCAGAGTTACACAAATATAAAGATTGTAAGGACCTCTATATCCGTGGTAATACAGAATCTGGTGTGTATGAGATATATCCATTTAATAATAACAGCAAGGTCATCGTCTTCTGTGACATGATGACAGAAGGTGGAGGGTGGACAGTAAGATCTCTCTATCCTTCTATCCCTCCTCAATTTCTCTCTATCCATCTTCTTGCAATCTCACTCTACCTTCATTACTCCATCTGTTTCTTTCTCCCCCCCCCCCTCTCTTTAGCTCCACCAACAATTTTACCTATGATTTCTCTAATAATATATTAATCTTTGATTTTTAAACTGATATCATATCTTGTCGCTGAATGAACATTGAATGATTTTTTTCTGGCCTATTTTACGGGAAGATAATAAAATTCCGAAATAGATATTTTTTAGTTTCAACGTAGAATAAAAATATATATAATATCATAAATTTGATAACAAAGATTTGTTTTCTATTCTGAATAGTTGTTGGGGTTAATAGAAATGAAGAAAACTTTAGTATGAATTTGTTTTAAAATCATAACTTTAAAAAATTCGTATATTTACTTTATTTTTTATATTTATATTTTTATATAATATATAATAATATCTTTATATTTATTATTTATTTTATTAATTAACCCCAAATTACTCCTTGTGAAAGTAACAATAAACTTAAAAAAAACTCCTATACTTAATAAATCCTTAGGCTATCCAGAAACGGGTTAGTGGATCAGTAAATTTCGACAGACTACAAGAATGGATTTGGTTTCCCTAATGACTCCTACTGGATAGGTAAATTGTATACAGTTATGGAATGACTATAGAGGACATAGCAAATTTATGGCTCCCCAAAGGATTCGGGTTCCAGACACAGAAATATTTCCCTCCCTCAGGAAACCATGAATTTGCTATTTACATTGTACACATTCCATAACTGCACATTATCTTAGGTTGTTTTTAGGGATGATAATTCTTCTACCTGTATTATTTACTGTTTTAATTAGATTTTATTTCTTTTCAGTTAAAATGGAGTTCATAAGAATTTAGGAAAAATGCAATATATAACGATTTCTCTACTTTGATTTCAAAAGTTGAAGGTTCATTGCCTAAATGGAATTTCTGCATACCTTCACATCCATATGCATATGTTGATGTATAGGACAACATAAAATAGATATGTTTTGCTTTATTGATTCTTTATATATATTGCACAACGATTACATATTAAAGGAAATGACGTTATGCATCAACTAACCAAGGGAAGGAACTCCTCCCTCTACGTCTCCATCACACTGAATAATGGGACAAAGCTCTATGAATTATACAACCAGTTCTCTGTTTCTGAAGAAACCAACAACTACCGACTTTTTCTTGGAGGACCAGCTACCGGGACCCTTGGTAGGTAAACGGAAAAAAAGAAAGTACGAATGGCGACCGATAAGGACAGAGAGGGAGAAAGAGTTTAATTTCTTGTGACAGATGGACAAATACCAATTCTTTCTGTGAGAATCAATCCTGGAGTTACGTAATTAATGGAGGGGGATGAGTGGATATCAGTATTTTGAAAGTAAAATTGTCCTTGTATATTGAAAATCAAGAGTCCATACTACATGAGCCAATCAGTAATAAATTGCTAAAAGATTTAACATTTTCACGTCATAAACACTACGTGCATACTTGTGCGTAATGTTGTCAGATACATAACTCATACAGATAAATCAATTAAGGTGTTAAACGATTATTAAATTAAAAACTTGCATTGGAAATGTAATTAATTACAGTCGATAACGAGAACTTGTTGTAATTATCCCGCTTTTGTGTGGAAGGTATAAATAGTAGGTTTAACAAAATCAATACAACAATAAAGAAAGAAGTTAATTACACAAATTGTATGTACGTGTATTCGCACACATTTGAAGAATTTTAATGATTAATGTGTTGATAAAATTGAAGAAAAGCTATTGTTTCCTGTACCGTTAACTTAAAAAGGTGCACACCCCACCCCCCCCCCCCCAAAAAAGAGAAAAAAAATCAAACCGTTATTTTCTAATGTTAAATCAATTTATTGGTTCATGAAATTATTGTTTTGAATATCCCTTCTTTATGTATATACGTATATAGGCTTACCAATTTCAATGTTTAAAAAAGGCTTCACATGAATGAAATAATAATTAAATTTGTTGATGTCACCCGCGGGGCGCGGTGGTTAGAGACGTGAAGTAAGGAATCTTTACGTCGCGAGTTCCAATCCAACTGTAGGACGTGCAGACTGGTACTTTGGATTAGATCGTATAAATCAAAGTCAAGTGTCGTAGTAGATGCTGTCACGAAAAACTTAGAGAACTGCTCAATTGCCGTGTATAACATGTATTAAAAAACAAATTTTCTAGTTCTCAACCGGCAAGTGATGGCGTCACCATATGAGTGAAAACTGCTCGAGAGGGAGGCTAAACTACAAACATTCAATCAATCAGTCTTTTATTTATGTTGAGACTCATCAACATGTTCGTATACAGTCAAAAAAGAAATCAAATGACAACCGAAAAACAACGTTAAATATTAAATGAAAACAGTGTTCATCTATTGTAATTGAAAGCAATGCAATTTAAAGTAATTCAAAAAAAGTTTTTTATTGTTGAATGCTATAAATGCTTTAGGCTTTAAATGTTTAGTAAATAATAAGGATCTAATCTAAAATAGGTGTTCATGTTATATTTTTCTCTGATAATTTTATAGGTGACTCTATGTTAGACACTTCTCTACCCGAGACAGAGATAATGACAGATTGACTGGAGATGACTGTTGTATCTTTTTATAATATTGTATTTTAGGTGACAGCATGAGAAGCCACGATCTGTCTGGGATGTCCTTCAGTACCCCAGACAGAGATAACGACAGATGGTGGGATAACTGTGCTGCTTCCAGTGACCTGAGAGGAGGCTGGTGGTTCCGCTCCTGTCACCACGCCTTCCTTAACGGTCAGTGGTCCCCGGGATCCTGGTACAGACCATGGTATCCTACAGTCTCTGATAATAAACAGACAAAGGAGACTTTTATGATGCTGAAACATAACTGACTTTTTATATCTTTATATCCATACTTGTTCAAACATAATATGAAAAGTTATATACTTTTATAATAGAAGATGAAAACTTTATATTTTAGACATAATGGTGGTTTCTTTAATATATACAATGTATCAAACATATAGATTTAATGTTATTATGTGTAATGAATTTATTGAAAAGTCCTAACATGTATTGCGTTTAAGATAGTGTTGTACATGTAACATCAATTACTAAAAACAAGAAAATCGCATTAAATATTGTTACATAATAAAAGTTTTGTTTTTATTTTATCAATTGTCGTTTTATAATTAATAGTCTAATGATATAAAGTATGTTAACAACAAAGACAATGTTTTTTTTTTTAATACATTCCTTGAATTTCAACTGATCCCCGTGAAAGGTCACATGACTGGGTAGAAGTACATGTAGTATCCATCAGTCTGTCATCTCCATGTGTGTTGATAATTAGAATTTCATTCTGTTACAATTTATAAATGATGTAGAGATGATAATTTCGTAGATTTTATTTTCAAACACCAATATTACTTGTTACTTGTACTGTATTTTGTATATACAGTGAGTGGAAAATGCTGCATGTAATGCCAAACCAATTAACTGAAAACAAAGTATTATATGATTTATTTTCATGACATTAACGTTGAAGGCCTCAGTGTAACGTCATAAGTGAAAATCAAATTCCCCGCTCTTCTTGAGCAGTTTTAAGTTTTATAATCCACCTTCAGAAACCTTAAATCACATTGACATATATTTGAGTCTTTCAGACAAAAATGCTACATATCCCGTGATGTAAATGTTGTTATTTTTACGGCGCTAAATTTTGCGCACGGAAAGGGATAATTCTTTCTACTTTCCTGCATTTTTAATAAACCACCTGTCCTTTCCTAATATGAGAAATACTCTTTAAAAACCTGTATATTTTATCCCCCCTGATCCTTTTAAATCGTCCATTAAACCTTATCAAATCGTTTTCTTTTTTTAATTGATAAACTTTTTTTGGGGGGGGGGGTCACGGAGAAGCCTATTAAGGGTTTGGAGGCGGATACGATACTACAGGTTGATAAAAGAATATATCTTACATTTGGGAATGAAAGGTAATTGATAGTTCAATGCTGAAATGAAGAAAAATACACCCCCAAATTTGGCAAAAAACGTCGTTAACTGGTCAATACTTACTTTACGAGATCGGTTGCGTTTTCATCAATAACTAAAAAATAGAACATAACCCTACGGTTTCTGTAGCTAGAAGTAGATACATGTTGCAAGGCTTTTAAATTATAAATGTATTGTAGACAAAATTGATCAAAGGATTGAGAAAGAAGAAAAAGTTACAGTTTCAATGCTGGAAGTATAAAAATAAAAATATCTTCATTTATTTTTTTTTTATATTTTTTATGCTTAATTATAAATCATGCTTAATTATAAGGATCTTTTCTTATAAATATTTCCAATGTACCTCGTTCAATGGAATGGCTCTGTTTTACTGAATTCTAGTCATGTCATATGTAATGTCTATTAGTTCTATTCAATTGATAAGTAAAACACGCTCGTGTATTAAGGAAATAATGCCATATTGTGTTCTTATGTTACTGATATAAATGTTAATATTGCCTGGTGTATTACATTTTGTGTTCTTATGTTACTGATATAAATGTTAACATTGCCTGGTGTATTAGTAGACTTTATTTATAGCCTGAGTACGTCTTGCTTACCATTAAATTGGCATAATTACAAAAAAGTATATGTCTGACGAAGTTTTAAAATTTTGCCATTGCCACATGTGTATCATCTTCTCCCTTCTTTTCTTCGGGTAATACTTTAATCGGATAAGACATATTGACTTATGGAGACACAATGCAATCAAGATTGATGACTCAGATACATGTATGCTTTTATTGACTTATTGCGACACAATGCAATCAAGATTGATAACTTAGATATGTTTTTATTGACTTATTGTGACACAATGTAATCAAGATTGATGTCTTAGGTATGGTTTTATTGACTTATTATGACACAATACAATCTAGATTGATGACTTAGATATCATTTTATTGACTTATTGTGACACAATGCAATCAAGATTGATGTCTTAGATATGGTTTTATTGACTTATTGCGACACAATGCAATCAAGATTGATGACTTAGATATGGTTTTATTGACTTATTGTGACACAATGCAATCAAGATTGATGACTTAGATATGGTTTTATTAACTTATTGTGACACAATGCAATCGAGATTGATGAATTAGATATGGTTTTATTGACTCATTGTGACACAATGTAATCAAGATTGATGACTTAGATATGGTTTTATTGACTTATTGTGATACAATGCAATCAAGATTGATGACTTAGATATGGTTTTTTTGACTTATTGTGACACAATGCAATCAAGATTGATGACTTAGATATGGTTTTATTGACTGATTTTGACGCAATACAATCAAGATTGATGACTTAGATATGGTTTTATTGACTTACCGTGACACAATGCAATCAAGATTGATGACTTAGATATGGTTTTCCCTACGATGAAGTTATAATAAATGGACATAAATATAGATCATCAATGCTGTAGTTATTTTTTCTAAAAAATAGGTTTAATCTTGCTCGACAGCAATTAAATTGCATAGTAAAATGACCTAACTTTACCCCGAACTCACGTGTACACAATAGGTGCAGCCATTACACTTGAGGCATGCTGGAATGCACAAATTAAGGTCAAAATCTCTCAGTAATCAAATACATATCAACATACTCTTATCTCTAAATCGCTTAATACAATCAATTAAACTATATTCTCTATAGCATTATAACTAGAGGAAATTTTAGAATCTAAGACAATATATACATGTAAAAATACATATGCGTCTATAGAACATGACAAAATGTTAGCACCCAAATGTAAGTTACTGTTTACCTGCTCACTTTGCAGCCTTTAACACTAATTCATACATTTATTATTCTCATATGAGTCAATAAACATCAAACCTCGTTCCTTAGATTAAAGACGTAATCAACTGTAAATGATAAAATATCACCTGAAGAGGAAAGAAGATGACAAAGATTGGGCAATGGCAGATTTATTAAACTTGGGGATTCACCGCTTCCGGTAGGAAGAGTGAAATATATTTACAGAATTATCCGCCTTCTCCAAAAAGTTAAATTCACACCTTCTAATTCATACTTATACTGTACTTCAAAAACAACCCCCCACCCATCCACCCCCCCAAAAAATAACAAACTGTTTTTTTTTTATATTATATCAATTTATCGGTTCTTGGAATTATAGGTTGGAATATCCCTTATTTATATGTACGCATATAGGCTTACCAGTTTATATGTTCATAAAAAGGCTTCACATGAATGAAAAAAATAATTCAATTAATTGACGTCACCCGCATGGCGCGGTGGCTCAGGTAAGAAATCGACATTTACGTCGCGGCTTCAATCACACTGTAGGAAGAGCAGACAGCAGTAAGTGCTGGCACGAAAAACATAACACACTGTTTAATTGCCCTTTATTACAATATAATACATGTAATATATTACAAAATATTTAGCTCTCAACCGGAAAGTGATGGCGTCACCATATGACTGAAAAATTCTCTAGAGGGACGCTAAACAATAAACAATCAATCAATGAATCTTTTATTTCTATTGAAGAATCGTTAGTTAATTCGTATACAGTGAAAATAGAAATAAAATTAACAGAAAAACCAAGTAAAATATTAAATGTAAAAGTGTATATGTTTATTGTTATTGTAAGCATTTAATTTCAATACAATTCAAAACAATTAATTTTTTTATTTTAGATACTATAGATTTTTTTTTATTTAACTTTAAATTTTAAGTAAATAAAAATGATTTTATTTGAAATACGTGTCCGTCTAATATTTTTTCTTGATAATTGTACAGGAGACAGTGTGTTAGATGTGGGGTTCTGGCTGGATCTCTCTGGGATGTCATTCTCTATCCCAGACAGGGATAATGACAGATTGACTGGAGATGACTGTTGTGTTGTATTTATGTTGTTATACTATTGTATTTCAGGAGAAAGCATCAGAAGATAGTGACAGATTGACTGGAGATGACTGTTGAGTCTATCTATATTACTATACGGTTGTATTTAGGAGACAGCATGAGAAGAGGGACAGCTGCACTTTACCGGTACGTCCAAATAACATGGAAATAGCACGTGCTCTTTCTCTATAAGAGAATCACGCGTCAGCGTGACGATTTCGCTAAAATAATGAAATGCAAAAATAACCTATTTTTGAATTCCTTGTCATTTTTCATGTTAATAAACTTCGTTTAATTAACAAAGTTTTTAATTAAAACTTAAAGTACTTTCAAAACAAACCTTTCACTTTCATTTTGTCGGCTACATTCCAAAGTCGTGACGTTTTTAAGCACGTAACTTATTTCAGTGCTGTGATTGTTCAGGGTTGGTGACGTAAAATAGAAAGTTTGACTTCCACTCTATATGATTGTAAACAGTGATTCAGCATGCACCTTATTTACGATGATTTGTATTGTGTTTTCTATGAATGGATATTTTTCATTGACTGACTGCAGCATTCTAGAATTTTTGGAAATGTTAGCGATAAATGTGATCCTTAGTTTATGGAAATGGTGAATAAGTGGAGAGGCAAAACTTGTAAACATGCAGTGAGGACAGTCTTGTTTCGAGAAACAGCAATCAGCAGTATAAGAAAAATGAAACGTATAAAGAGACACATCTTATATTTCTGGAAACAGAGCTGCAGTTAATCTAACATACTCCTGGGTTTACAAACTAAAAAATCTAGAGATTTCAATTTGCAAAACACTGGATACTTTACAATCATTGAGACCACATGGAATGCAGTTATAGAGGAAATCTCTACTAAAACAAAAATGCACTAGGATAGTAGCTATAATTAAAAATTGACGTTTATCTCCTTCATCACCCATAAAAACGTATTTACAACTCGGCAAAAATATACACAATTGGTCCTACATGCATGTATAGTGACACTTACGTATGGCTCCGAGTCTTAGCGCAGATTTATCTAACGACTAAGGTAAGTTTGTTTTATTCATTTTTTACGTATTGGGGGCTGCCGCCCCCACAACCCCGCTTAAAAATGCGAAAACCCATTTAGATATCTTTTTTCTCGCTTCGAGAGTTTCTTACACAACAAAATGGCGTTGTCCATCATAGTTGATACGTTGCTAAGTTTTTACGCCGCGCACTCTCATGCGCGGATCTGAGAATCAAAAAGGCGGCCGTACCGGTAAAGTTCATTCTATCCTGAGAAGAAAATGACAG